AAACATTTATAACGCTTTCCCAGCTTTTATCTACATATTTTAACAAAAAGCTCGCAGCTACAGATAATCAATTTTCAAACGCACCAGACACTTGAACTAAAAGCGTTGACAGTAGTATGTGTTACCCTAAAATTACAATACATAGATAGATAAGTTTATGCAGAGGCAGTGAAAAGTGAGATTTGGTAAAAACCTAATATCTTGCGTTATAAAGTTCGGTACCTACCAACATAAATCATAAGCAACCGTAATGAATGAGGTGTCATTTGTTTAAGGCGGCTCTTATCAGGGGAATAACCATGATGTACATACGAGTGAGGCAGTTTTTTTAAACAAGAAAAGGTATCCCTGGAAGATTAACCTAGAAAAAGTCGAAAGAATGCTTGGAAAATCCCATGCACCCTTTTCTTAAATCCTGCATCTTGGCATGAGTAAGATCCGTGGGAGATGGGTGCGGAGGATACCTACGCATTTGTATAAGGTGGAGATCGGTTCGGTTTTACTAGCGGCTAGAGATAATGCCCCTGGGATTTGCCTGCCGCGCAGCCCAACAAAAAAAAGCACAATACGGAACTAACTGCAGTTTTGTCATTTCGTAATAAAAGGTTTTCCAAAAAAGGTATTATTTTGACTAACCTGCTATTCGGCTAGATGTAACTTTTGAAATTGGAATTTTTGGACATTTGGCATTTTCTACTTGCCAGTAAAAAAATTAAACGATAGAGGTTTCAGCAAGGCATTGAAATTTATAAAATTCACTAAAAAAATTTCAACGAAAAATCATCTTGACTGATGAGGTTCATTCCCTCCTCAATTGATACCTTAAAAAGCAAAACTGTGCCATTTGGGGCTCGGAAATTCCAATATTTTTTGTAGAAAAGTCTCCCATACTCAACGTGTAATTGTTTGGTTATGGTCCGTCGGGGTAAGTGGACCTTAGTTTTTCGAAATAAGAAAGCCTGCGCTAACTAGAGAGGATTAATGATTTTTTGTATGATCAGAACTGGATGATATTGATGTGAACGATGTTACGTTCCATAAAAGCAACGAAACGATCGATCTTAGAAGGAAAAAGTTGTTTTGAATAACAAAATAACAAGTCTTAATGGAAAATCATATATTTTTTATTGTAAATTTGTATTCTTTTATTTCCATATAAAAGCTGTACTCATTCCGTCACCAAAAATAAATACTTGGAGACAGATTATTTTTTAATTGTTAACATATGTAGGTATGTGTGATAATAAAATAATTTACAATAAATAAAACCAGGCCATTAGTTTATTTAATACTTATATAAATTTTTTCTTATAGCTTGGCCGCAAAAAAAAAATTATGAATATATAAGTTGAACCTGATACTTAAACCTGCCTACACATTTTTCAGTCAATTAACGCCTGAAAGTATAGAGGATTCAAAAACAACTTTTTTTCTTAACAAAACTACACAGCTCTGCTCTTACCTCCTCCGTAACGTGGCTGGCGTAGCGCTTAAATTCGTCGCGGAGCCAAATGGTTTATGGACGCTCCCTAGACAATGATGAGAAAAAAATTATGCGGAAATTTCTCTAGTGTCTTTTTTGAAATGCAAAAGCTTATCAGCAATATTTTATTACACCTGGACATGGCACGGCTCTTGCGCTATCGATTTTTTTGATTTTAATATGATTATTTTTCGTTTTCATTTAACTACACTGAAAACCAAATTTTTGATTGTGAGAGCAGTACGTCAGGCTCGCATCAACGCTTTAATAAAAATAAAAATAAAATTTCGCGGAGCTTCTATGCAATACCAATTGAAATGTACTTTGCATTGTCATAAAAAAATCTCGTAAGGATGCAGCGGCCGCAGAAGCCTTGAAAGGGATAGAATGTTATTATGCAAGCTGAACAAAGGTAACCACGGCTACATATACACACGCTCATCTATACTACATTCATAATGTTTGTATGTATGTATACATATATGTATATATGTGCAAGCGCGCAAATTATCAATGAACAATAGCTTGCCGCTAACGAGAAGTTACTGCTGCGAGACAATGGTTAGTTATTGTGTTGGTGTTAAAGCAGAATCCCGCTGATGCTGCTGAAATTTGTCCCGTTTACCTGCTTACGTTAGAATAATGAAACCACATATGCTCGTCATTGTTCAACAAAACAAGCCAACCTCGCCCTCAGTGAAATAAGTAAAAAAAAAGCATCTCAACTAAAGTTTTCATATAAAAGAGAAAAATGTGTCAAAGTGTAGCTGGCGGTGATGAGCCAACAGCATATTTTGTTGCCGCTGGTTGATAAATTTCGCAGCTTCTCAAATAAGTTTTGGCCAAGCTTTTCGGCATTTTGCTTACTTCTGCAGAGCGTCGAATGGTAGTAAATACTTTGTATATTGCATGGTCGCGGTGTGATTGTGTTAAAAAATTAATATTTTTAATAGTTTTTTAAAAATCTCGTGTTGGTAGATCATCGAATCCAGCACTCGGACGTAAGAGCATGCACATCAGCAGAGCATCTATATTGAGTGTTAGAGTGTATAAACTGGGTATAAAGAATGTATTAGGTTTTTATGCAAATTCTTTATTTGAATTGAAATTAGCTAAAGATCTCCACTGAACGGAAAATTACAATAAGAAAGATTAAGTATTTATCTGAAAAGTGTTAAAATATTATGTAAAAGAAATTCAAAGCATTACGTCAGCAGTCCATGTTGAATGGCTTTACAAATATTTTTTGTGTCTCCTTGATTAAGATAAAAAGAAGTTGATATTACGCCGGTGAAGGAATTCAAAATATACCAAACTTTTTGGATATAAAATGTGTATTTTATTATATTATCTTTGAAAGTTATTTTTTTTTTCAAAATAGTTTCCATTTGACTCAACATAACGTTTGGAACGATCAGCCAGCGCATGCATAGATTGTATATTATGTCATTTATCGGAATGTTCTTCAGCACTTCGGTTACGGCTACTTGAATGGCTGGGATATCATCATAAAATGCTCCCTTCATCTTGGTTTTCAGTTTTGAAAATAAAAAATAGTCACATGGTGATAGATCAGGCGAATACGGAGGATGGTCGATGAGAGAAATCCCTTTTTTCATTAAAAATTCGAGCGATTTTTTGGTCGTCATTTAATTCATGTGGAACAAATCGCGCACAGACCTTTCTTTTCCCCAAATCTTCTGTTAAAATTCTCCAAATAGTGTTTCTACTTGTATTCAATTCCTCAGCCAACATTCTCGTAGTAAAATTTGCATCGATGCCAATGATTTCACAGGCTTTTTCCACCAGTTCAGCACGATTACTAGTTTCTGAACGTCCAGCTCTAGGGTGGTCATTTAAATCCTCACGACCATTTTTAAGTCGTGTAAGCCACGTATAAACTTGCATACGACTGACTCATACAATCATAACAAAAAAACTGTTTTCATAAATTTTTTTTCAAGTTTGACATAAAATTTTATATTTGCTCTTTGTTCCATTTTATTTTTGAACCATTAGCACACTTTTGGTTTTCACTTTTACATCTGTTTTGGTGTCACTTTTACATCTATCTTCCGACTTGCATGATGTTAGGTGCGTTTGAAAGAGAAACTTTTTAATGTTGCAAATTTTCAATAGATGTTGTATGATTTAAATTTAAAGTTCGGTTATTTTTGGGACACACCGTGTATGTTTAGTGAGTGGGCACTATAATATACAAAAAAACAGCTTTTCTGTATGAAACAATAAACCCTCCTTCCTTTTATATGCACAATTTATTTGAAGCAATCGGCTGCTCTTTTTGACTTTGCGAGCCGAACCTAAAAAAGCAATTAATTTGTACAAAGTAATTTTTTCGGAATATTTTTTTGCAGCAAATGTTGCTTTTCCCAACTGATTTATGTACATGAAAAGGTCGGTTAATTGCTTTTGGGATAAATTACAATACGTTGAAAATGGAATATCATCACTGCAACTCTTTACTTTTTAATCGATTTTTATCACCTGTTCAGAGTTTTTTCCAGGGTGTAGCTTCACTGATCCACTCATGTGGAGTGGTGCGTCTAAAATACCTGTATAGTCCCTTCGATAAACTTTCTTTAGAGGTTCATTCGTGTATATTTGCAGTATCTGTTCACCAGTGGTGCGGCTGCAACCGAACATCTATAGTTCGAATACTCATTTTTAACCCTACACCCGGTAATGAGAACCACGGCAAACGTTACATAATTGTAGGAATCTACTTTAACATATTTAAATAAATAAAATGAAAAATTTATATGTATGTATGTATGTTGATACATTTGTCTATAATGATTTAAAGTCTCTTTATTGGAAAGGTGGTACTAGCCAAATGATCTACCATCATCCGAGTAAGAATGAAAGCTATCATTCATACCATTCATAAGTAATGCGAAGGGCGGTGCCAGGATAGAAGCACTTGCTTGGCGATATTAACGCAAGAGGGAGCAATGAAATTTCAGTTAAATAGTCGCAAAATTCATGGTCTCTGAATGAATAACCCCAATAAATAATCAAGTTTTGAATCGACCCCAGAAAATTCAAACAAACCTCTTCTCGATTACACACCAACCCTCTGAGAGCATTCATTAACTCCCCATAATTTATATGTTGTATGTATATTCACCAACAGCTATTGATTTTCAAAACGATCGAAGGAATCTGGTAGTATGAGAAACCCAAAAAAAAGCTGGAGTGCTTTCATCCATTCGGACGACATGACAGAGACAGCGGCTACGCTGTAGATCATACAGCTCCATCATCTACGGTTTTCGCCGTTGTGAATGCGCAGAGGACTATAAATCGTTCGCAAAACTTTTCTCTCGAACACTCCTGAAGCCGGCTCATCAGATATTGATATCGTCCACGCTTCTGCGCCATATATTAGGCCGACTATGATGAGCGACTTATAGAGTTTGGTTTTCGTTCGCCGAGAGAGGACTTTACTTGCCTGCTCAGTGCAAAGTGGCACCTGTTGGCTAGACGGGTTCTGCATTGGATTTCTAGGCTGGCATTGTTGTTGGTGTTAACATTGGCATTACGGTAAGTAAAATATATGAGTAAAAAAGTTATAAAGGATAATGTTTGCCATTCGGGCTTACAGGATTCAGAAACCACAATGTTATGCTTGCAATAGAGGGTGCACAGATTACTCCAAACTTATAGAGCGGCAAACGATAACAGCCGCAAAACTCGTGCCAGCCCTTGTTTTGCTGCTTTAGAGAGCTAATAGAATTAAGAGTTACTCCAAAGTTCATGACATTGATTTTCGCTTTTGGTGTCTGGAGAGCATGAACTGGTGATTACAAATTTGGGTTTTAGTATTTCATTGACGACTACTTATAGTGTAGCCTAAGGTAATTAAATATTATCATCCGTACAAATTGAGTTCACATTTATTGTTAAATATTTGTAGCCAAAGATTCTTCGGAATAATTCACTTTGTTTTTTTATAATAACAATAATAAGCCCGACGAGAGATCGAATCCTCTGAAAAATAGAAGGTTCGGGGAGATCGAAAGTGACGGAATGAAAATTAAAATTGGGGCACAATCGGCGAAAGGGTTCATTCTTTTCATAATTTGTTTTACATGACTTTAATAGTAAAGGCCTAAACTGCCTAAATGCACGAGCTGGAACATTAAAGTTTACCTCGACAAGACCCATGAACTGCAAATAGTTCCGCTAAGTAGTTTTCCTACGAACAATGCACCTAACATTTCTCTACGACCAGCGAGGGTAGGCAGATACCGAAGCTTTAAACGGTTTGTATAGGGAGGAAGATTTATCGTGGAGCTCCATCGAAAATATTTTAATGTGAAAAGTGAAAATTGTTTCTGAGCCGATTCAAATTTATCGGAATGAACCTGATAGTTGGGGTTCCACATCAGTGAATCGCATTCTAATATTGCCCTGACCAAAGTCGTATAAAAAGCGCTTACGTATTTCACAAACAAACTTTTTTAAATAATATTGTAACAGCTAACGCCAGTGTTGTAAAATAAATTCTTATTAAAATGCAGTAGAAAATAAGCCACCTAGACGTTCTTTTCTAGCCCGCGTGCAAAACAAAAGGCCTTTAGTTAATTACGCACATCCTACAGCCCTTTAAGAAACAACTTTGTTTCTTACCTATGTGCCTACATATAAGTTCAAGCCCAGGTGTTACCATTCCCAGTTTTCTCTGCGTATACGAAAGCAAATCCCTCATTCACTAAGCCATTCCACAGAAATTCTACTGAATTTTCACATTTTGCTCAATGAACTTTGCTAAATTTTGTTGCACGTAGCATACAGCAAAAACTATTTACTCATTTTTTCGTACGCTTTTTGCATATATGTACATATGTATGTGGTATGCAAAGCCACAAAGTTAGCCAATGTCGCAACTAATTAATAGTGATTTGCTTCTGAAACGCTTTCTGGTTGTCATTTGCTTTATCATTAATTATTATTATTAACTTTTTTGTTTGCAATTTCATTTGGTCAGCACCAATAATATTGTTAATTGGAAAACTTTTTAATATTTGTTTTGCCTTTGACTTTTGTCACAGCTTTTCATTGATTCATTAATGTGTTGTTGACCTTAGAGTTACTTCGGCTTATATCAAGGGCGTGTTAATATTAATTGTAGCAGAAGTAAAATACAGGAGTTGCAACTCTAGTAAATGACAAATCCCGACCTGTTATTAAATAAAAAGATTTTTGGTAGTAACTTCCAGAGAAAAAATATTTATACGAATCTAAATTCTACAAGCAATTCAAATCAAGGCCTTAAGATCGGCTGGTATTGCCAACAGAAGGAGAGAAGTGATCAGCGCAATCAAAGTTGAGTTTAGGAAAGAAGGTACTCACCAACTTACTGAGCTATGAATTAAACGCATATTACAAATGTGGTATTTACAAAGCTTACCAAGTCCAACAGAGACCAAAAAGCAGCAAATCGATGGCACGTGCTTTCAGTGACTTAGTTGTGATGGCCACAGTAGCATAGCAATGTTTCAAAGATTACGAATGGTCAATATTGTCTCGCATCTAACTTACGGAAAATTTCTGCAAATTTTATTTCAGTCAAAGATGGATGGAGCAAAGACTAAAATACACAGGCAAAGCTTTACTCCTATAGATGGTTCCAACATGAACAGCGGAGTGTGGCCAACAGTAGATCATTTCGGTCACCGGGCCCTCGACAGGAAAAATTCTAAGTATCCATCAGCCATCGGAGACTGCTTTTTATAAACTGTAAATAAATAGATTTGGAAATTAAATTCTAAAAATGTTCATGTTGACAGCAGAGGGTGTTTCGGTCTAGTTAGTTAGTATACTAGAATTTGGACGAAGGAAAACAGACTTTAATGGCAATAAATAAAAAATTTCATACCTTAACTCAAAGATCCATGTAAAACTTCATGTAGATCGTGTAAATAGTTGTCGGGATCAACAAACGAGTTGAAAAGACACAGTTTCGAAAAATATGCTTTCAAAGTTTAAAACGCAGAATCTTGCTGACTTTGAGCGTGCTCCTTCCCAAGGTTTCATCTACGGAAATATCATACGAATCGGAATCCAACATCCTTTAGAATTTTTTTTAAATGATCCGCGACACTCTTTTACAGAATATATACAGGGTGCGCTATCCACGCACTTGATATTTCAACATTGAAGAACCCTGATATTTTTTAGCTCTCAGTTTTCAAATATTTCAACCAAATTTGACTAGCTGATGTACTTTTATATAGTAACGATCGTTTGTCGGGACCACTTAATCAGGCCAATCAGGCACATACCCCTTTACATTGTTTTTGAACATTTTATTAAAAATAAATCTCTCCCTTTAGGTTTTACAGTATCAAAGGTATATTTCTCTACAAATAAGATATTTTTACAATTTTTTTATGAAATCGTGCATTCTCGATGAGACTTGTGCTGTCCCACGGAAATCCAGAAAAACAAGTCTCTATTTTGGCATTATCCTGTCTCCGTCTTAAGGGCGCATGATATAAAAATATCGAAAAAGGCGTAAAAGTATTTGTATGAACTAAAAAGTGACCCACTGTTGAAATTAGAAAATTAATTAAATAAAATTGTGCCGAATTGAAAAAAAAGTAAAAAATTAGCTTAAAAAATATGACGGTATTTTCCATGCCAAATTTACAAATTTTAATGCGACGGAAATATCTGCAAGTCAGTTTGTTTTATGCCCGATATAATACTGAATACCATAAAAATATTTCAAGTCGATCNGTGACCCACTGTTGAAATTAGAAAATTAATTAAATAAAATTGTGCCGAATTGAAAAAAAAGTAAAAAATTAGCTTAAAAAATATGACGGTATTTTCCATGCCAAATTTACAAATTTTAATGCGACGGAAATATCTGCAAGTCAGTTTGTTTTATGCCCGATATAATACTGAATACCATACAAATATTTCAAGTCGATCGGAGATCAGTTTTTGAGTTACAATGACAGCAAATTTCGAAAATGTTGTTTCGAGAAAAACGCATTTGAAAAACGGGAATCTTAAACTTTCATGGCTAATCCCACGCGTTTAGGGATTAACCCGAAACTATTACAGTTACGCATTTAATGTTGAAGTATGTTTTCTTCAAAGCTATAGGCTGTCGAAGAACGTCAAACAATCGATTTTTAAGCTGCGAAGTATTTAATTCAGTGTCGTTAAAACTAAGTTAGCGGCAAGACTCGTAAGTTAGTTCGGCAAATCCTAACGATAAAGAAATGAGTTGCACTCCTAGGAGGCAAACGGAGTAAGAATTCTTACAATTGATGGATATCCACCAGGTTGGCTGCCAGTATAAGAGAAAAATAATAAAAAGAAGTTGCTTAGGTATAAAACAAACAAATTTTTATTTATTTACGTTTTATATCAGTTATTTGTTTTTATGTCTATTTACTTAAATACTAATAAATGCAAGAATACAGTGCGATAAAAAACAATCTTATTCGACACCTACGTGCTGCAGTAAAGTAAATACTCAATTGAAAATCAGGCTTAAAGTGTGTTTGCGCCTTAAGAAGCCCTGCCACTTCCACTCCTTCCAGTGCTGTTAACAACATCGCAGGCCTTGTCAAGCTCCTCACAACTCGTTGCACTGAATTATTCTGCCTTGACTTGACACGACGAATTGTTACCTGCCGCTCGTGTCCTTCTCTGGCATAATTACTGACCGCCCTGCACCAGGTGATCCTCACAGCTTACCTCAGTTTCAACTGCTGTCTAATAAGAATCTACATATCGCTTGCCTTCATCACAGCAGTGTCGGCATGTGTTTCGAGCAACCCTCGTTTAGGACTCCATTGTTTCAAACTGTAAAATAAAAAAAAAAAATATTTTGAAATTAATTATAATAAATGGTTTATAAAAATTTGAAATTGTTGGTTTGAACGGCAAGTAGGCAAAGACATCTCTGATAGCTTGCAGTTTCTGCGGAAAATGTCAACCAAGCCCGCGCATCAAAAATCTGAAAGAAGAAAAAAAAACATTTTGTTCAAACTGAGATGGACAAATCACAGTCTCTCTATCAGAGGAAAAATGAGGAAATTCCTGACCATAAATGGTGTTCTGCAAATATTCATTCGTAGCTCTTCTTGAATTCTGTGAACCTGCTGCCTTGCACAATCCGCCAATGTTGGGTTTTCGCTATCAGCGACACGTAGAAATAAATGCTTCCGTAATTCATGCAAATAATCTAATCGCGCTCGTTTTATTAGTCCTTCGTCTCCAATTATTCGAAGGCAACAGGCATGGAAACGCTCGGCAATACCCTTGAATTCGCTACTGTGTTGCTGAGTAGTCATGAATCTATTACGCAGACGCCAAAAGTTCGAAGTTGAAACTTGGATTTCGGAATGTAGACTCTTATACTCGCCCTCAATACTTTTGAACTTTGACCTATAAGAAAGTCTTTGCCAATCTTCCCTAATAGGTGGGTATTCGCCGGCATTTAATACTGGAAGTTTGTAAGCATATTTCGGATTTCTCCTACTTAGTATTTCATAGGCAGTAAGATCCTCCGTCTTTTGATAACCGATGTTCCTAGACATCAAGGACCTTAGAAACTCAGCTACTTCTTTTTCTTTCGGAAGTTGGTATGGCTGTGGTTGCTCCTGTTGTACGCCAACGGTTGCTTTTGGTGCATTCGGGTGTTCGAATCTGTTGCCGACTCCATTTTCTTCTGTGTAACGAGCTTTGGCTGTTAAGCTGGAGTGCTTTTCAGCGTCCGAAGACATCAAGCTAATGCCACTATCTCTGGTCTGACTAGGTAATTTCGGGTTCATTAAAGACAATGCCGGACGCTTTCGTTGTTCATGGAAAGTTGTCATTTCAGCAGATGTCACTATGTTGTGTCTGTAAGGAAATCCGTTCATGTTTGCTTTGTTGCCGGCCGTACTTTCTGTATTGTTATTATGTTGTTGATTCGGCTCTTGTTGAAGGCTTTCGGTGAATACGCAACTACGAGGAATTGTGTTCTGGCATTTAGGGCGAACAAAATGTTTCTGGGTCTGAGATGATTTATCTGAATCACTCAGCTTCCGTTTTTTTGGCTCTTGTATGGGAAGGTCCTCTCGAAGTCGCTTGGAACTGTTTTCAACAGTGTGGGATTCATTGCCCCCAGCAGATGGAGGTTGGTTAAGCATCTCATTCCTATCAGACTCATTAACTGCGGCGGTCTCGTCAGGTCTAGCCAATAATGAAGCAATATTAGCGCACTTCCTCAGCTTTACCTTCTCCCGCTCTTCCTCGGTATAGTATTGCCAGTTCTCGTCGACTTCCTTCCATACATGGCCTTTTAAGTGGTGCAATTTATCCTCGAATGTTGAAATCACCGGGAGATACGTAATTAGGGTTACCTGTTCGGAGCTAGATATTCCCTCTTTCGATAGCCGTGACCTCAAATCTGACTTTGAGAGTGGTTGAACAGCCAGTGAATGGATGACTCGCTCTCGGATTCCCGGCTTTGGTGTAGCTTTGGACTTACGAGCCCTGGTCATTTTACTACCAGCCGACTTGGTAGAGGAAAATGGTCCTTGAGACGGTGCCAGCTGATTATGGCTAGCTGAATATCCCTTGGACTCACCATCATTGCCTCCGGCCAATTCGAGCTGGTTGTTCTGAGCAGTGGATTCCATATTTTTTCCAAACGTTTTTTTTTTATTTTTTGCTGCTGTCGTCTCTCAAGATCTATGTGCAGAAATAACTAATTCCCTTGTGCTTCTTAATGAAGATCGCAGGTTCTGTAAGTAAATAAAAGAAGAGTTCAAATTTCGTTATAAAAACTTTTCGCTGTTGAATTTTTAATCTTCAAATTAGTGCTTGTGATTTTAGTTTTTGTTTTTTTAATTGTAATAATATTTTTTATTTGTAGAAGTATTTGCTAACGCTCTGTACGCTGTTTTGTCAAAGACTAAAACTTAACCGACTGAGCGCCTTTTTATATCCACCAGCGCAGGCAGCCATTTTGCTAAACCGCAGTTGCATGCACATTGTTTCTATATCTAATTAGGAATACATACATACATAAAAAAGGGTCAATGAATTTATGGATAATTTTATTACATTGACCTGCAATACAGAAAATAAAATGAATTAAAAAAAGGATATAAAATAAACAAATAAAAGAAAATAATAAAATTATTTAAAAATTAAAAAAAAATGTAAAACCAAAAAAAATAAATTAAAATAAAAACATAAATAAATAAATATATTTATAAATATAAAATAAAATAATAAAATAAAATTACTTACTTATTATGTATCTACAACAACAAAAAGGCTCGTTTTGTTCAATACAATGCTTCTTCTTCTTCGTCATGGTCATAACGCATTATGCTGCAACTACCTATCTTACATACCATCCGCCCATAATAACCTCTTTTATGAGAGCGCTATGTAAACACAAAGTTGTCACCGCTTGCCTATGCCATTAGTGGCGGTTGTCGCGCAGCAACCAGCGGCGATTGGATTTTTTCCATAAAGCCGGCTCGGCAATTTCTCGTTGCTATGCAAGGTTGCCAGTATAGTCTTTTTTTAAAGCAATATTTAACAATCGAAGACAATGCGTGGTTTGTTTTCAAAAGAAATGAAAACTAAATTCGTATCTAATTATTTGTTGCCATATTGATCATGTATATGTATGCGGTTACATTACGCTCTCATAAGATGGGTTGCTATGGACGGTTGGTATGTAAGATGGGTAGGAGCAGCATTAGTCTCATGAGACTAAGATTGTCCTAAGTTGAATCGTCAGGTAGAGCCGAATATATGTAAATATAAATACTACAATAGCAATCTTTCCTTGGCTTATTTTAATTTATTTTATTTGTATTTCTTTTGTTTTCCATTACTTTTCAACAAAACAACTAATAAATTTAAATTATATAAGTCTTAATGCAGGCGAAAACAGAATAAGCGTGGCGCTTATAAAACAAAAAGGTCTCATTTTTTCATATAAATTTATTGAAGCGTAATATTAGGACTAAAAGAAAATAAATTAATCAAAATTGATAATACCAAACCAATTTTCTAGATATGCAAGGGCACTCCTTTCTACAAAGTACGACCTTAAATCAACGTATGATCTATCGGGTTATGGAATGGGCGAAGGAAATTTTGATTGTGGCCCTATGTATATATATACGAAATGAATTTCGAATCATGAATACGATTTTCGAACGAGTCAGTCTTTGGTCCACCTCTCGGCGATGAAATTGGGGTTCTTCGACATATCGTAATATTCGGTGCAGCCGTTGCGGAAGTAGAACGAGAACTTGATTTAAATTCTTTGCTATTGTGTTTTAAATTTTTCAGATGTGCATAAATAGAAAATACCATCTCAAATTTACAACGCTTGTGCAACATATCCACATACGTAGCGTATATATTATATATAAAGCATTACATAGAGCACACAAAGCGAAAGTCATTGGCTTGAATGCAGCCGGCGGCATCTTCCTTTTGACATCATAAATAATTTTCTAATCCTTGCTCAATTAATCAATTTGTTGACTCTCCTCTCGTCTGTTATCTTCTCACTCAATTCTCCGCAGGATTATTGGGACACGTGCCCTTTAACAATGCTTAAAGTACAATGAGGATTTAAATAGGGAAAGGAGAATTGAAAAAATATGCTTGTGTCAGGTCAGGTAAGGAATGGTGTGAGGTTTATGCAATAAATAAGTTCTACTTTAATATTTTTCAAAAACTTATAATTACTCTACGCTGTACTTTGACGATCTCTTCGTTCTTGCGAACTGAGAGAAGTTGTACGAACCAAATGTTTTGATCGCTTAAAAATGATTAAAGTTTAGTTTTCGGCCTTGACCTCAAACTGGATCGAAGAAAACAGTAGAGTCGTACTTTTTTCTGTCTTGGCTCCCTTGGAATCATTCACTGGTTAAATGCGGCTTTAAGTTTGATTTAACAGTCATACCAGTATGCGCAGGATTTGTTACCTGTTGTTATAACCCTTTTGAGCTAATAACTCTTTAAAAATATTTCTTAATACTACCAGCATTTGACGTTGGTTGCTGTTGAAATGGAGCGTCCAGGGTGAGGTTGCATAACGCCGCAAAAAAAAAAAAATAAAGTCCAGCGGTGTTAAATAGCCCACTCTGTGAGGCCACGTCGCAGGCACAAGATAATGCATTCAACAAAAGTTGCTTTCAATAAATTGATTTCCTCGTTGGTTATATGGCAAGTAGCACCGTCTTCTTGGTACCAAAGTTCGTTCACATCAGCGCCTGTGATATTCTTATTTGGCTTCAACATTACAGACCGTTTCATTTTTGAAGAAAAACGGACCAATTATTCCCTCTCCTCATAGAGCACACCAAACAGTGACTTTTTGGAGAGGTATCAGCGGAACTAACGGTGTATATCATCATTCAACCAAATATTATATAAGACTCGGTGGCCAACTTGCTTTTGGGCCATTCAAAGAAAGTGCGATGTACTTTAGGGTCGTTCTTCTTCAATTCTTGCACGAGTTGGATTTTGTATGCCCGTAAACTGAGATACTTCCATAAAGAGGATAATGCGCCCACCATTTTTCCAGCTGTTGGGCGAAGGAATCATTTGGGTCTTATTCGACGATTTGCGCTCTATCCACAAGTAAATGTGGTACGAAACAGACCCATGGTTGCTCAAATTGCCAACTTTGGTGGGCGATTATGTCGACCGAATATTGGAAGCTGACCGCGAAACATTATTTTGGTAATAAATTTGCGCGACCTGCGAACGTTGTCCCAGAGAAAGTGGGTTCATTACAAAATGGTCACCAAAGTATAAAGTGAATTTAACTCAAGTAACACCTGACAAAAAGACCAACTCAAAAAAATATAGCCTCACTGAAAAGTAAATGTCCAAAAAATACGCCCACAGTTTCAGATTAGTTAGTGTATTAAGACAACAAAAAAGTATACCAAACCTAATTTCTGAACACACCCAATAATTTAAAAAATCTAAAACAACCTCTAAAACATATGTAGGAGTATGTCATATATGCATATGTACATACTTAGGTGTATTTAACCAGAGCAAAATCTTCAACGTTCAGCGAGCTAAAATTTGTTGCTATTAACACAATTCTTCGTTTCATTCATGAAAACGATTGTTGAGATACAAAAAGGAATATATATGCCATACATGCATCATACATATTTACAAATTTTTCGCAACTTATGTGTTCTTTAGTATGTACAATTAAACAAACAAAAGTAAATATTTATTTATATTTAAAGGCAACTAGCAATACATCGAATTAATTTTAATTGCTTCGATTGACTTTTCAAGGTTTTCAGGTTTTAGTTCGAAATTCTTCATTTCATTTACAATTGTTATATATGTACATAGATGATAGACGATCGTATACTTAACCTGAAAATAATTAGATCAGCATGCGAGTACTATTTCGATTGTCAAGAAACCAAACATTACACGTTTGGATAGACACCGAAGCTCGATGTTAGGGTGTCTCATGAGTTAACGAGAAGTGGTGGTGATCGAAAGGCAGTGACCCGACACAAACGGTAGCCATACAGCAATTACGGTCATGAATGTTTTCTTTAGTCTTCCGTGCGATTGGACTTTGAGTTGCTCCCCCATGGCCGAACACCCAGAGGCGTCCAGAACAGGAGCGAAATTGTGTTTCATAAGGGCAAGGCCAGACTGCTTACATCGCTAATGACTCGCCATAAGCTCCGAGATCATGGATAGAAGGCTGTTATACATTCACCTTATAGTCCGGTGATAACGATCTGTTCCTATTCAAGGTGAATGATTGAGTTGTTAAAGAATTACGCTGAAAAGTAGCCTGTGAAAATCGACTGTTAAATTTTTAATTTAATAGAGACAAGAGTTTTTGATGAGGCACAATGACATTGTCGTTTCGACTAACTAAACTTTTTATGAAAAATAGCGACGCACTTGACAGTTTGTGGATATGTTATGTGGCTGATATTGAGCTACAACGTATATTCAAAAGCAACTTTTTTATTGTTCAGGTAATTTCTGGATCTTTTACAATTTATTTTATATTTTGACCGAAATCACATAACAAATTTTTTGTCAATATCGCCAACAACTTCAAAATGACAACAACTGATCAAGCAAAATCGAATATAATTAAGATATGGATAGCGAATATTTGAATCGTCAAAATCGCCGAGTTTTATTTAACAACTCGAAAATAGTTAATAGTACATCCCGCTACAGAATCGAGTTACATTATTCATGATCGTATCTGCAATCGCACGAAAAATTATTACCTGATACGTTAATTGTATGAACGACATGGGATTCTCACATACGAAAACAGATGGAACGAAATTGTCTTTCAATCTGCCGTAGATTTTAAATTCCTCATATAATTTTGGGTCACAAAAGATGTAGAAATATAAAAAAATATCTAAGATAAAAAGATATCTAAATAAAAACTAGATTAATCTTACTATTTAAATTTATATTTCAGTTGTAGTGATGACGGACATTATGAAAAATGTAACCCTTAGATTATGAACACTAGTTCTCCAACGGCTAGGAGTTCCACAGTACGATTGCAATGATCAGTACGGGCCTCTTTTCGCAAGTCTTCCCGCCAGCCCACTCTTTATAGATCTTTTTGTAAGGCCTTTTTTGTTATTTGGTATATTTTTTTTTATTCATTAACGTAAGCTTACTTACAAAAAGACCTCTGGACAAACCTTTCTCTAAAATATTAAATATGCGCTCATATTTTCTTTCTTTCCTTTCCAGTATCTTTCTTGTTTTAGTGGTTAAATCCTTTTTGAAAAAGATTCAACTTATTGTATTGCAATACAATATTCACATATATTCAACTCATATTCAATTTTTTACTGTATTTGTCTTTGTATGCACTCGAACGCAATTTTATGAACGGATGAAACAGATTTTTATGAAACAAATTTTTTTAAATAGAGTAACCTGGCGTAATTTGGAGCAATTCAATAGAAAAAAATCTAAATGCATATTATTATTTTAATAATAAAAATATTAATATGCCCAACGAATACCCTCCACCCGCCCAACCGACATGAGGGGCGACATCCGCATAACATACGGAATATGCCGAGTCATAATTGGGAGGTGTTTGTTAAGCGTTAAGATTTAAAACTATTCAGCTACAAAAAAAAAACATTATAAGTATATAAGGGAGAAGTAAGAATAGTTTTTTTGATGCTAAAAAGTGTCTGAGAGATCGAAGGTGCCGGAATGAAAATTAAAATTATGACACAATCGTCGAAAGAGTTCATTCTTTTCATAATTTATTTTACATGACTTTAATAGTAAAGCCCTAAACTGCCTAGATACATGAGTTGGTACATTAAAGTTTACCTCGGATTAAATACATGAACTACATATTGATCCGCTAAGAAGCTTAACTACGAACAACACTCCGACAATTCTGTACGACTCGCTAGAGTAGGTAGATACCGAAGCCTTAAACGGTTGGTATAAAAATGAAGATTTATCGTAGAGTTCCATCGTAGAGTAGAAAGTTCTTTTAGCGCAAAATTTTCATAAAAAGAATAATTAAATAAAAATTTATTTCACAACTGCAAAATCATTGAGGCAGATAAACATCAAGCAGTTTGTCCTTTATAACAAATTTATGTACAGCTTTTGACATTAGAATTCAAATATAATAGGTTACTAAATAAAAATCTCTTTATGTGACCTTTTGGGTGGCACTCGAATTTAAATATGTATTGTATTTTCATTATTCGATTGATTCAATTTAAATTATTTCCGACTTAATGGGCGACCGAAGGCTACATTGGCGATCGACGCCGCCTGAATTTGGCTGTAAATAAATTTTATTAAATTAAGCACGTTCAATACACCAGGAGGTTATTAGATATCCGGTTTTTGTTTGTACGCCTTAGTATATAAACATATTCATAAAATCATAAATGTTCGGATGGGTGTCAGTTAAAGTGGTGGGGAATATGTAGGTATTGTTAATAAAAAGTGTACAAGGTCTTTAAAGATTTAAACAAATTAAAATCAGTATTTTTAATTTTTTTTTTATTTTTTAAAGTTCATTACAGCAATAAAGTCACTGACCTTCACTTTCTCTATGAGCAGCGCGTAGTCGTATATGTTTGTATAATCTAAATGCGTTCGGTTACCTTCAATATATAACGAATGTAAACATTTCTACAGATATGATATATCCGCACTATATAGAATTCTACATCCATGTGAATATGCAATTAAATTATATAAACTGAACTCAAGATACTCTGCACGCCAAGAAAGGTCTTTCAAGGCAGTTAAGAAGAAAATTAACTCGATGTATATATCATATTATATAATATAATTTGTATTTACATACACTTTTGTTTACAAACTCTGCATAACAATGAATTGAAATAAAATTTTCACTAAATGGAAATATTTTTGTATATCAGCAATACTGTTCATGAATGAAACGCCGCAATGTGTTAACAGCTGGACTATTCCGTGCTAGCAAAAATAAGAAGCCAGAAGCCTACTTCCGCTGGACGGATGTACATATAAAATAAACAAATGTTTAAAGAAAAAATAAATTAAAAAAATTTCTAAGAAAAAATGTGTGTGGTATTTAGCTGAAAATTGCAGTGAAAATTTATTGAATATTAAAGTTTTCTCTCTCTGACTACATACACACAAAAGCTAAGAAACTTTCTTGAGTTCACTTGAACTGTCTTCAGTTATGCTGCATCATGCGTTCAAAAATGTATTCAAGAAAATGTTCGCTAAATATCTCTATGTAAATATTTCTAAAATTAAATTAAAATAAAATAAATTTGCATACGAAATTAGTATTTCTTTCCAGAGAATTTTGTTGAATTCTTCATTACAGCAGCTTGCAATAATTTCGAAAATCATAAAAAAAATTCCTTTAGATAACAGAAGTTAACCATGACCACTGCACAAAGTGCAAAAAAATTTTTAAAATAATTTTTTTTTTTTGTTTCAGGAAATAACGTGTTTTGGCTTGGGTTTGAGCTGCAATAAACTTCCGCCTAGAAAGCTTTGGTGGTTGGATAACCTTAATGCGTACTTTTAATGCAGGTTTCCTGCCTTCCTTGATGTGCTGTTAGGCTAGATAATGATGCTGTGCCCCTGGTAAATTAAAAACGAAAAGAAACGAATGTTCACTATAGTTCACTGAGGTCGAAGGACATTTGACGCCTTTCATAGTAAATATTACTTGTATACACTTAGACTCATCATCTTTAAATCTCCAAGTAGTTAATCATTCTTCTATTACTTTTAACTGACATTGTTATAATTACATTAAATATATATGTAAATGGCTGCAACGGTGGTGTATTGTATGCCATGGACTGCGGTATAATCCACACAAGTATTTTTTGGCGAGTTATCGGTTCGTGCTTGTATAAACTGTACAAACTTTACGAACACAAGCCTAACTTTTACATCAAGTCGAAGGCTTTAATTATCTTGGTTAGAATAGTAATCACTTGCAGCGAGATCCGGACTATAAAAAGAACAAAGGCTGCGAAACTTCTATGGTGTGATCTGGCGTTGTACTGCTGAAACATGATTCCCCTACTAACAGTACAGGTCCAAATTATTTATCTGGCCGCGGACGATTATTTGCCAAACACATAAAATAACCTTCCTAGCTGTTAATCCTTTCTTGGTGACCATTCAAGCAGGCTCACTGTCCTTCGACCTCAACGGTTTATATTTCACATTGCGGTAAGTGTTACACGTTTTCTCACCAGTCACCATCAGCTTCAGAAACGTGTTCATTTTTCTTCACACTCCGTGGAGCACATCCGGTATTTAGATCATTCGATTTGCGATTTGTTGAGTAAAACTATTTTTCCTGATTTTTGGTATATTTCAGTCTCTAAATATCTTTACGATACCAACATATCCAGAAACAATAACAACCCTCGACGTTGCGTCCTTAAAAGTGAAGCGCTGAACAAGTAGCAAAACCGATGGGAAGTAGAAAACTTTAGCCGATGGACGGCCAGGTTAACCAAAGACGACAGAATATAACAACAACAAGATTTGAACAATAAGATTTTTCCAAGATGACCGAAGCACGCTTTAAAATATAGTTTGGAGAACTAAGAGCAGATACTCGTACCATGAGTAAAACAGCGAGATCTGGTCGCTGGTGCAGAGAAGTAAATATCCCTATGAGAAAAAACAAAACGCTGCCCGGAAATAACACGAAAGCGGTGCCGGGATGGGATGGGTGAAGGTTCCTTTCCTAATCACATTCCAACCCAAAAAAAATATTTCCTAATTACATACATACTTATATGAAATCGACTGTAAGTTAGTAAACAAATATATAAATACATTTTAGTCCTCCTCTGCCTTTTCTCAACTCCTAGCAATGTTTGCAGAATTTTCATGTTAATATTTTTTTTTTTTTTTGCAAACTAAATCAGCTCAGTTTCTTTTTAAATGAATTACATTATGTTATTTTACAATGATAATTTTTCTCATCATGTCAACCAAAAATGAACATTGTAATATGCATGTATATATGTAAACAGAACAGACGGAGTAGGAGGAGGTTATCATATGATGGAAGGAATTAGTCACATTTGGTTGGCATGGACTACACGCCTGCGGCAAGCAGACAAACCAAAGAAAATGATTCCATATTATTTTCACGATATGTATGTATATAAAACTGCATGTATGTATGTATGTACGTTCAAATTTTTCCATTATATTCATAATATTACCCATACCAACATACCTTAGCCGTCACATTAAGACCAACAACAAAACATATATTAACATTGTTATACATATTTATTCATAATATAAATGCATGCATTATTTTCCAAGTGTAAATTACATTAAAAAATGATATTTATTATGTTAGCTGATTACATTTTTTAATAATATGTGTAGGCATAATAAAATAACTTACAAATGACAGTTGTAATCTTTTCAGATTCTGATGGTATATGCAAATGAGGAGCAATATTTATGAGAATATTCAGCATTTAACTCAAATGAGGTTTTTCAATGGAATTTAAAAGTAATTATAATTACAAAAGAGGTCCAATGAATCTCACTGGTTTCGTGGGGCTTTGAAAAAAAATACTTTTCTGACAACTGAAATAATTTTGGTATAAAACAGATAGATCCCGTACTCAAGAATTTTTCGGAATATTTTCAACTTTTTCGATTAAACCTGTTAGTAATCATAATGAAATCTCACGACGAAGCAAAAAAAGAAACAAATTAAATAATAAATGCTGCACAATTAAAGCACTAAGTTAAATATATATAAAAGTTATAAAAAAGTTCCAAAATATTCCGCATGTTTACATGCCACACCTAAGTTAAGTAGGCATTTGTACACCACATACATATGAACGTATATTCAAGCCTACATTATCGCAATAGGTATACCATATACATATATATGTATATTCCTGTGAGCCGTGACAGTAAGTGTCCTCCTCAAAAATATATTTGTTATAAGAACATACTACCTGAAGTAAATGTTGGTATGTTTTCCCCCACTTTATTTGCCTCCAAGCTGTTCGTGCTTCAACGCCAAAGTTAAACTTACTGTATACCGTTAGTTTTATTTATCTCAAGTTAATGAGGCAACAGCTGTTCGTAAGGGGAGATGTTATTTTTACAATGCTACTTACCAAGCTGGCAATAGAAAATGTGGTATTTAACAAAGTATACACATAAGCATATATACATGTACGTGTATGTATGTATGTACATTGCATAGATTATTTTAAGAGTTTTCTAAATTAAAGGTGTTCACGTGGATTGCTCTTAAATGTGTTAATGTACAGTTTTGGGGTTCATTCCTTACATAAATGCATTAAAAATCTTTTACCTTCTAGATTATTTAAAATTCCTGCGTCGCTATGAAGGGAGATCGTGGTGCCGGCACCATGCTCTCACTTTCAGTTAAAATTTATATCGGCTTGTCAACTCTAGGTCCCTACATTCGTCGGAAAAACATCGAGACGCAAAATTTTCTTATTTGCAAAATGTGTATGCTCTTCTTTTATTTCATTTTATTTTTTTTTTAATTTAATTTTATTTTATTTTGTTTTATTTTATTTTATTTTATTTTATTTTATTTTATTATATTTTTTTTTTATTTTATTTTATTTTATTTTTTATTTGTTTTTGCAGACTTTAAATCTTATCATTCTTTTCTCTTTTCTTTGGTTCGCCTCACTTGCAATGCTTCTTCTACATTACACATTCTGTTTTCCAAACTGTTTTATGCAATTTTTTTTTTGTTATGTCTATTATTTTTATATAGATTAAAATTTATTACGGTGCGTCAGCTGAGAACCAAAATATTTACCTGTTTTATATGAATATATACGATATGCAAATTATGTTGGTTTTATTTGTTGTAGAAAAAAATATATTCGTTTTAGGTGAATAAATGACAGCTGAGTTGTGAGCGGAAAGCCATCAGCAGAAAACCGCAGCAAGTGATATTAAATTTAAATGGAAGAAAACATGGAACGTATTTTTTGAGTTGGTAACATTTGGCTTTCAATTTCTTTAGCTCTTTTTTTTATTAATTTAAAGCAGATTTTTCATACAGCGGCTATTGTAGTTTTGTGTTTATGCGGCAAACAGTTCGAAGTAAATACATTTCGGGTCTAAAATTGAATTAGAATTTTTGTTTACTTCAGATTTGACTACAAATTTTTGTTCTAGACCGAATCGCGTCGTTTATCCATAAGGCGCGTATGCAACTTTCGGCACACTCGGATTAAGTATTTGTTGCTACTTATATAATATATATATACATATGTATATATATATTTCCCTCACATTCAAATATTACGTTTGAGTAGAGCAGTAAGTGATTAATTAATTGTTTGGTTGTTCATCTAACTTACTGTCTGTTGTATGTTTTCAGATGTGTTCATACTTTTTCAAGTACATAAATATGATTAAATTATTGCACATTAATTATGTTCACTCAAAACAGGTTGTCTCTGCCACGTGTTGGGCATATTTATTGTTTCTGTGTACCAGTATATGTATGTATGCATGTTATGCATTTAAGGAATTTAGCAAACATTCAATTTGATTTCTTCTAAGCATAAATTTCTCAAGTTGATGAACTAATTGCAGCAATTTTGCACTGAATAATTACGTAATTATTTAAACAAACGGCTTAAGTAAATACAATAGTAAACACAAAGAAAATTAAAGGATGAACGAACGGTCTTTGGTGGCGTTGAGCGGGGTGGAAATCATTAAAATTTACTTGCCACAAAGTTTTTTGCGTTTTGGAATTTCTAATTTTGTTTATTTTTTCTTCAACTCTTTGATGCATACATACATATGTGGGTGTCTCTGCTTATATATGTATTATATTATATATAAAGGAATTTTTGAAAATTTAGTAAAAAAAGAGAACATAAAAAGTTGTTAATTCACTTGTTCTCCTCTTTACTGGGTGTATTCGGGGTGCATCAGTTTATGCATTTTTTATCTACAGAGTTGTTATTTGATTTTTAAACTTTTTTCTTTTAACCAGTTCACGTTGGATAGAAAATTCCAAATTAATCTGTTTAATTTTCCTAACCAAACAATTACTAATTTACTGCTGAGCTTCAGTATATTTATTATATTATTTATATATTATTAATTAATTTTATGAACGTGATGAGCAAACGGAAAACATATTTTGAATGGAAAGCAAAAAAGTTGAGCTGGCTACCGGTGAAGTCTTTATATATACCTTTCTTGAATATATCAAACTAACAGTATTGCCTTTTAGGATAATTATTTATTAATTTATGATGAAATGTCCATATCTATGTGCATATATGTACATGAGCCGGTTGTAAATTTAACGATCTTTGATGCTTTTCAAAAAACTTACGACACGAATTCTCAAAAGAGATACTAGTTTGCGCACACTCAGTTGGGCAGGTCCAAATCAATTCTGACCCGATCGGTATAAAGTTCAACGGGGTTATATCTTCTTCTTCTAGTACTGACATACATGAAAAGTATAAGAATAAAGTTTCTATAATTTTGAATGTTGTTTTGAGCAGGACTTAAGTCCAAGCCTTTCGAGACACAGTACACTGCTGATTGGAGAATATAAGTTTCAGAAGTTATTTACCTTTTTATAACGTCGGTGTACTCGTACCCTCTACCGAAGTAAGATAAGGCTTTCAGCTGTATTTGTTCTTGATCACATCTGTGAGAGCCCATAACGTTTGAGAAAAATGCCTAACACAATGTCAAAGCAATAATGTGTCAGTTGAAGGACACTACAAACACTTCTTTATTTCTGGGTAGCGTTAAATATAGCTCATGCTCTTATTCTCGTTACCTGTGTACAGGCTCCGTTTTTCCTCGTTTCGCAGCATGACCGTTATAATATTGCCAGAACGTCTCTCCGCTTCCTTCCGGAACAGCTTCACCTGCCATTGTACGGCATGCCGCGACTACTCTTGCAACAGCTTTTCAACAGTGCTTTTCGTCGGTTATTTTTCCTCATTAAGTTTGACAATAACTCTACTCTTAATAGCAAGACATTCAGTGTTTTCGGCATATCCAATGTTGGCATTTTTCCTGCCTCGGTACTCCGATGCTGGTCATCAGTTAGATCTGTTGGGATGATATATTATAGTTTCAAATGTGAGTATTTGGAATATACTGCTATGAGACTAGACAATTTTCTATACTACCACAATTAATATTATTTTCTTCCGTTTAAAGTTTGAATTCATAACTTTTCAAATTTTTAATTTCATATTTTTCTTTTCCATAATAATTTCCTCGGAACAAGCAGTTTGCAAATTTTTTATTGCTTACTCACATATCTAGTTTCCATTTACCATTACTAATTATAATAACAGTTATCGTGCCAGGCATTCGTGCGCCAGTGACCAAAAAGCGCCATTCATAGCTAAAACCTAATATTTTCCCGCCTTTTCTGTCATTCATAATTGTCCGCCACTAGCGCACAATCAAGGCATGAATGGTTATCAAGCTGCCGCACAAACACAAGAAGCACAAAAATGATAACAACAACAGCAATAAAAACCAGCAACAGCAATGAAAAACACATAAGACAACAAATTGATACCGTAAAAGCGCTGAGTGACACCTCGCCTCACATCGCAACTCCCCGCCAACCGCTGACTTCTATGGCAAAGTCACTTGCGAACATTGTCGCTTTATCTGCTTGTATCTGTGTATAAGTGCGCTTATGAGCACGTGTTCAACGAACAGTGGGATCATATACGTGTACACACACCAGAGCCCCTCACCTCAGCCGTAAACAACACATTGTAGAAAAATTACCCAAAACAAATGCTGGCGTTTCGAGAGCACCATATGATATTGGAAAATTCCCAATATTTTTATAAATAATAGAGAGTAAAGAAAAGAGTAAAAGGTATAGAGAGAGAGCTTTTTGAAAGCTTTTTTGGGCGGAAAATTGTTTCATGTGGATGCAAGGGAGGCTTTGCTTTAAACCCAATGTATAAATTCATGAGTATGTGTGCCGTTGTATGCCATGCATTTCCCTACAGTTGATTACGATGTGAAGAAGATGCTCTTCGAAGCTAGCAGCTTTTGTTGTTGTTGTTGCAAAAGCATTTTTGGCGCTGTTTATTATCGTTGCTGCTGTGTCGAATAGGCTGCCACTAGCTATTGCTACCTTACTACTGCTGGACCAGTTTTGGAAAAATCGCATAGTCAGTTTGTTTTGAATTTTGCCGCGAGACGTTTGGTTGGCGCGGATCGAGAGCAATTAAAAATGAACGAAATAAAATTCAAATTTACATACACATATTGCAAAAAAATTATAATTTTTATTGATTGATCGTCGCCTTCGCGCGGTTAATTCTCGTTTAACTTCATCTGTATTGTTGTTTTCCTAATAATTATTAAATACCAAATAATGTATTTAATTGTGCGTACAGAATATGAAGAGATTAATAAATAAAAGTGTTTGTTTGTGTGTGTTTATGTGCACCCAAAAAAAGCAACAAAAATAACGAAATCACCAAAAACCAATCGAGCGGTTTTCAATACAAATTACATTCATACAAATATATATGTACGTATTTATATGTTCAATTGTCGAAATGTCGGTTATTTAAGCTGCTAAAACCAAACAGCCGAGAAAAAAAAAACGAAATACAATTTCAAGTGGACAATCAACAACTTGAAACAAAGTGAGTAGCAGCATTAAATTATTTAAAAATAGCAAAAACAATAAATACAAAAAAAGATACCAAACAAAAAATCAATTAAAAAAATCTGCGCTCGACATGTACTCGTTTTACCACATACATTTGGACTCCTGTATGACGCTTGCCAATTTTACAACAGATTAAAAAAAATATTTTCGCTAAATCACAATACCCTTTTTTGCCAGGTCAATTCAGTCTAAGAACTGCGAGTGTGTTTTCATTAATTTACAATAAGCTAAGGTCGGGAACACCACACAAATGGAATTCTGCAAAGTTCTCAGTTTGAACACAGTATGAAAAAACCTTCAATAGTCAAAGGTCTCAAATGCGTTTTTCGGATTTCTAAGAAACGATAGGTTAGCTGGATTTGTACTCTCCTAATACACCATAAATGACCATTACTCGGAAATGGTCTAACCGAAAGAGAAAAAGGTTGAGAATATTTTCCTGATCTAACCAACATTTGACCTTGAATTAATTTGTTTGTTTTTAGTGGCATATACCTTATGAGCTTGTAAATTTTCAGCTTGTTGTCAATTAATGCAGTGGTCAATGTCTGTGCTCTCTCTAATGCGTTTATGAGATTTATATATGTTAGACACGCTAATTTTGTCCTAAACAAAACCCTTGCGAAGTAAATAGTCAATTCTATTTTTAGTTATTTTCAAACTCGATTTCTGAAATGTGTCGTGTGTGCGTATATTATAAAAATTTTTTGATCGTTAGGTGCATCGCGACCAATTTATATTTAATTCTTTTAGTTTACCGGATCACTGTTATGCTTTTCAGGTGACATTGGTGGCAATACATGAGGCTGTCAATAGTCTTAGCTCAATGGTGCACTATGAAAATCTTTTCGGAAAACCACACCGCATTAAGAGTCCTGGATCCTGTAAAAATAATATCGAAAAATTGCTGCGAGCTGCCGCCAAATACTTAACGTAATGGCTGAGCAGTTCTTTTTACACCTTTTATGGGTGTCTGGACACATTAACATACCGGGATATGAGATGGCGGACGAGTTCCCAAGGGTGGACACTTCCCTTACACTTTCACCTTCTTGGAAAAGTTTGGACATTCCCCTCTCCACTTGTAAAATCAATATAGGAGGGTTAATTATTCATTAAAGTTGCTAGCTCAAGAGGGAAAAGTCTCAATGCGTGTAATGTGACTATGGCAATGTGGCCTTAGTGGAGTAGAAGAAGGTCACGTGACCTTTTTGTACTAAAAAGAATGAAGATATCTACAGCTAAGGTCTACCTACAGTGCATATGCTATTGGACAGGCACGCAGCGAGCTTGGACCTGCTGTCTAACAACTTCTACAGAAGTTGGAGACAAGAAGCTGAACCGAAACCTGAAGGCATGTTCTTTGCGAATGCCTCGCACTTCGGAGTAGTAGGTTGGAGTCGCTATAGGCCGCGACCTTAAGAGACCCAAGAAAGATAGTGGTAACTGCTAAGATATGGCGACTGCTCAGTTTTGCTTTTCAATTTGGTTTGATTAGCAGGTGGGTTGGGGGAAAAAGGTTTGGCTATGGTTCTATACCAGTTAAGGCTAAATGAAAATGTGTGTTTTTTTGCTTTGGCGAAGGAACGTTTTCAGTGTATTAAACTTGGTAAAGAGCTAAATATATTCAAGCAAGTCAAAGTGTAAATATGAATCTTTTATGTATGGATTTGATGAAGAAGAGCTATTCATGTGTTACATGCTCATTCCCACTGTTACCGGTAAAGTAAATTTTGTTAGTTGTATTGAACACCAGAAATTGAATTGGCTATTGTTGCGCGCAGGTACATTGTTTGAAAAAACTATGGCAGCACTGCAATTTTATTATTAATATTATTAACGACTAAACGATAAACAGAGTCAAAAATAATTAAGCCTAAATCTGGAAAATATGCGAGGACGACAAAAGAAGAAACTGTATGGAAACGCTATATACCAAATTAAAAGGGTCATTTTTTCTCGAAAACATCTCAACATGTGCCTATTTACCCTCTTTTCTCTTCATCTCCTGTTGCTGATTAAACTTAAGATTTTCATTTATTCAATTTTACATTTATGTTCTTAACCTTCATTTACTTTAAAACATTACTGAATTTTTTAAATATGGTATCACTTTAATTTATTTCGTTAAAAGTTTCAAATTTTAACGAAGCGTTCATATATGCATTCATATACTTCATTTTAAATTTAGTTTGTACAGAACGTTTGAAGAAAGAAAAACGAAGAGTAAGTCTTTTGAATTGTTAAAATAGTTCTTTATTTAAAATAATTTGATTTTAGATATTAAAACTGTGCTGTTGATTTGAATGTAAAAACTCAATAAACCGCTTGTTTGTAATACTCGTTTATGT